TGCCTTTGTCATCCATATAAAATTGCGTGCATCGTTTAGCTCTGGAATGTGCACCCAAAGCCTCTGAGTTAGGAGGTAGAGCTGTTGGAAGCTGATTGCATCATGTGGTGCTAGAGCTGACTTGCTGTTAGGAGGTGAAGCCTGCTTAGAAGCAGGTCTCCATGCCTGGCTCCTCTCCCTCTCTGTTTTCTGTCCACTAAGGCCTGGGAAGATTTCCTATGTACAGCCCCTTCTACCATGCTGCTCCTGCCTTGGAGCCAGCTGACTGATTATGGGCCAAAATATGAGGAAAAAAAATTTCGTGTCCTTTGACTTGTGTCAGGTATTCTGTCCCAGCGATGACAAAGTAACTGAGATGCCATGGATGTTTGCATACTGCAGCAGTTGCAGGAGATATGCACACTGAACATTCCTATGAAGTGATGCTGCCCATCAGACCAACTGCTATGGTGTAGTAATAGAGAATACATCTATTGCTATCCTATATTTTAGAATGTTGAAAATTATATTTCAACACAATTCATTTTCTTTGTTGAAAAACAATGGGTTAAAACATCTCAAATTTGATGAAAAGTATTGATCTACACATCTAAGAATCTCAGTGACCTTACTATAGAAGAAACTTTGAGATATTAACACCCAAACAGGTCACAATCAAAATGCTGAAAGTCAAACTCAAAAGAGAAAATCTTGAAAACATCAGAAGAAAACACGTCTTTAAGAACAGATCACTGATTTCCATAGAAAACAATGGAGCCAAGAAGGCAGTAACCAGATGCAATGCACATCTGTAATGCCACCTACTGGAATGCCTGAAGCAGTTCAATGACAACTCTGTGAGACTCTGTCAATATACAATTTTTATAAAGGCTGGGTTTATAGCTCAGTGGTATAGCTCTTACCTCACATATTTTGCATGCTCAGCACCCTGGGTTTCATCCCAAGCACCCAAAAAAGTAATACGTAAAATAATTTTCTCATGACTGCTTTTAAAGATGTTTGAATAAACAATAATTATTAAAATACTGTTATTTTTAGAAAACAGCATAAACAGATGTAAATGACAATAATGCACGGAGATTAAACAAAATGGAGCTATATTAGAGCACAGTTCCTGCAGACTACTAGAAATAAGTCAGCATTAATATAAATGTCAAGTGAATTGTTTAAAATATGGACACACAAATATATAACACCAGGACAACTACTAACAAAATGATTTTTAGGATACAAGTGAAATAGTATCCTGAAAAGTATCTATTTTTTTATTTAGAGGAATAAAAGCAAAACAGAAAAAAGTGTAGAAATAATGCAAAATTTCAAAAAATAACAATATGAAATGACTTGTCAAAAAATATCAGTAAGAAATCACTAGTTGATACACTACATATTGTTATCTTAGAAGTAGTTGTTTAAGTTACAAAATCAAACCATAAAAAATGGACAAACAATGACTACACACTATTCTGTTTGATGAACAAAATAACAAAAACTTAGTAGTATGGTTATTTATCTTGCACAGTTAAACATACATACAGTTATATTCTTTACAGCACTTTTTTTCCTTTCAGTATGAAAATATCTATTTATTGAATAGGCAGTAAAGAGGAAACAAAGAATTATATGAGATATACAAAACAAATAGCAAAAAAAAGTACTAAATATTTATATTACTATCTGTATTAAACATAAATGAATTAAGTAAGGGATTATCAGTCTCAGTTTAAAAAAAAAACCAACATTGTGGCCCCCTGAATGGAGTGTTTTGAAATTTTGTTGTAGTTTCTTCTTCTGCTGCTGCTGCTGCTTCTGCTTCTTCTCCTTTCTTTCCTTCTTTTCTTCCTTTCTTTTTATTCTTGAATAAAATAGATTCGAAACAATAAAATTAAATTTAAAAAATAAAACATGCTGTCTATAGTAGACACACTTAAGATTCAATACACAGCTGGACATGGCATCACACACCTGTAATTCCAGCACTCAGGAAGCTGTTGCAGGAAGATCCCCACAAATTCAAAGCCAGCCTTAATGGCATAGTGAGTTTGAGGCCAAAATGAATTACATAGCAAGACTGTTCCTGAAAAAACAAACAAAAATAATTTTAAAAAACCAACCCAAAAATTGTACACATGTTTATTGTGTACATACATAAATGTTTATTATATAGGTACATATATATTCATTATGTATACCAAAATGAATACCACTACAGTATAACACATGTATAATAGGAAAAAAGTGGAAGCAACACAAATCCTCTAATAATAGATAAATACAATGTGGTATACCTATACAATAGAACATTAGGCTGAAATAAAACCTATATTCAGTACTGATTCATGCTACAACATAGATGAACCTGAAAACATTAAACTAACTGAAAACAATCAGTCACAAAAATACCACTTCTTGTGTTCCATTCTTGTAAACTGTCCTTAATGGGAAACCTAGTGTATTGTATGTGAAATATATTTCAACACAGCTGTTAAAATTTAAGACAAAAGCAGAGCAAATCTGGCTGGGGATGTAGCTTAGTAGGGCAGAGCCAGCCTTACAAGCACAAGGCTCTGAGTTCAGTTTCTGGTACCAAAAAGACTTTTATATAAGTCACTTTTCCTCAGGTTCCTACAAATCATTAAAGTAGTATTGAGTTCTTGTGCAATAAAAATTTCCAGAATCATGAAAACAGAATTTTAAATATATCTATTCACTTTTCAGGATATTACTTTAGTTTAATAATATTTTTCTATAAAATTGTGTGAATTTTTCTTGTAAATATTATTTTTGAAATAAATCAGACTCGTGTGTGAAAAAAAAAATCTTTTTTAATGCAGCAGTGTGGACAGGGCTTGACAGGCAATCAAGACACCCAGGTGGCAGGTGTACAGTGGTTGGTCGTTGGTTGCAATTGGATATTGACTAGGCGCAACAGTTAAGCAGCAGTTGGACATTTGTTGGGGGTGGATTGAGTGGCAGTTGGGCAGCGGGTGGACATGGGCTGAGTGGTGGTTGGGTGGGGGGTGGAAGGCAGTTGGGCGTTGGTTGAGTGGCTGTTGGTTGGTAATTGGGCATTGGTTTAGTGTCAGTTGGGCGGCCCTTGGGTGTGGGTTGAGTGGCAGTTCGGTGGCAGTTGGCCATGTGTTGAGTGGCAGTTGGGCAGCACATGGGCGTGCGTTGAGTGGCAGTTGAGTGGATATTGGGCAGCTGTTGTGAGACAGTAAGGCTGCGGTAAGGCAGTGGATGAGCAGGCAGGTGGTTGGGTGGTAGTTGGGCAGTGGTTGTGATGCAGTTGGGTGATGGATTAGTGGACAGTTGGGTGATGGTTGGATGGTTGGGCAGGTATTCCATGTAGTCGGCTATTGGTTGAGTAACAGTGGAGCATGAGTTGGGCGTTGATTTTGCAGAATTTGGGTGTTGGTTCATTATTGATTGGGCATTGGATGGGCGTTGGCTGGGTATGGGTTCATTGTTGGTTAGGGATTAGTCGGGCTGCTGTTGGGCAGCACTTGGGCAAATGGTCTGGATTTGGGCAGTTGAGTTTGCCCAGGGCTGCATCGTACTGCAGAGAGAACCTTGGGCTACAAACTGGGATATAGCTCGGTGATGCAGCCCCTCCTGATAAGCACAAGGGTATAATTTTGATTCCTGGTAGCCAAATAAGTAAATCACAGCTTCCTTGAGATATAGTTGATATTCAATAAACTGTGCATGTCTAGTTGTTCAAAAATAGAGCAGATTCCTGAGGTGATGGTATACACCTGTAATCCCAGCACTCAGGAGGCTGAGGACAGAAGGATTACCACAACTTCAAGACCAGACTAGACTACACAGGGAGCTCAAGGCCAGCCTAAACTACATGTCAATACCCTGTTAAAAAAAAAAAAAAAAAGCTGAGTCAGCCAGGGTGGGCCACGACTGTAATCCCAGTGCTTGGGAGGCTAAGGAAGGAGGATTTTCATGAGTTTGAGGCCACTTGGAGTTACATAGTGACTTCAAGACAAGTCTGAACTGAAATGCATAACAAGACCTTATCTGAAAACACAAAAACAGAGAGAGAAAAAGAAAGCAAGTAAGAAAGATACAAAGAAAGAAAGAATAAAAGAAAGGAAAGAAAAAGAAATTGACAGTCTCATTCTAAAATTTATATAAAGCTGAAATTTACCTATAATAGCCAGAATAAATTTTGAAAAATAAAAAGAAAATTGAAGAATAAAAACTACCTGATTTCAAATTCTATTATAAGCTACAAGTATAAAGATATCAAAACAGCACAGTTGATTTCTGTTGCTAAAAAGTATATATAATAGTAAAAAAATGGAAGCAACACAAATCCTCTAATAATAGATAAATACAATGTGGTATAGCTATACAATAGAACATTAGGCTGAAATAAAACCTATATTCAGTACTGATCCATGCTACAACATAGATGAACCTGAAAACATTAAACTGAAAAAAATCAGTCACAAAAATACCACTTCTTGTGTTCCATTCTTGTGAACTGTCCTTAATGGGAAGCCTAGAGTATTGTATAGTATGTGAATTATATTTCAACATAGCTGTTAAATTTCAAGAAAAAAAGTGGAGCAAATCTGGCTGGGGATGTACCTTAGCCATATAGAGGCTGCCTGGCAAGCACAAGGCTCGGAGTTCAGTGTCTAGTACCAAAAAAGACTTTCATAATAAGGCGCTTTTCCTTAGGTCCCTACAAGAACGTTAAAGTAGTATTGAGTTCTTGTGCAATAAAAATGTCCAGAATCATGAAAGCAGAATTTTAGATATATCTATTATCTTTTCAGTATATTACTTTAGTTTAATACTATTTTTCTATAAAATTTTGTACCCCCTTTCTTCTAAATATTATTTTTTGAAATAAATCAGACTTGTGTGAAAAAAAATCTTTAATGCAGCAGTGTGGGCAGAGCTGGACAGGGCAGCAAGGCACACAGGTGGCGGTTGGGCAGCGGTTGGGTGTTGGTTAGGCTGCAATTGGGTATTGGCTAGGCGCAATGGTTAAGCAGCAGGTGGGCATTGGGCGTGGCTTGAGTGGCAGTTGGGCAGCGGTTGGGCGTGGTTAAGTGGCGGTTGGGTGGCGATTGGGCAGCCATTGGGAGGCGGTTGGGCAGCTGGGCAGTGGATGAGCAGGCGGCAGAGCTTAGGTTGGATGGTGGTTGGGCTGCAGGTAGGCTGTGGATGAGGAAGTAGTTAGGCAGTGGTGGGTGGCAGTTGGGCAGTGGTTGGGCTGCGGTTGGGCAGTGGATTAGCACATGGCTGGGCGAGGGTTGGATGTTGGTTGGGCAGGTATTGGGTGTAGTTGGCTATTGGTTGAGGGACAGTTGAGCACTGGTCGGGCTGGTTTTGCAGACGTTGGTTATTGGTTCGTTATTGATTGGGCATTGGTTGGGCATTGGCTGGGTATGGGTTCATTGCTGGTTGGGTGTTGCTTGGGCTGCTATTGCGCAGCAGTTGGGCAAACGCTCTGGATTTGGGCAGTTCAGTCTGCTCAGGGCTGCATCCTACTGCACAGAGAACATTAGGCTTCGAACTGGGGATATAGCTCAGTGACGCAGCCCCTCCTGGTAAGCACAAGGGTATAATTTTGATTCCTGGTAGCCAAATAAGTAAATCACATATTCCTTGAGGTATACATGACAATAAACTGTGCATGTTTAATGGTTCAAAAATAGAGCAGATAGCTGAGGTGGTGGTATACACCTGTAATCTCAGCACTCAGGAGGCTGAGAGCAGAAGGATTACCACAACTTTAAGGCCAGACTGGACTACACAGGGAGCTCAAGGCCAGCCTGAACTACATATCAATACCCTGTTACAAAAATACACCAAAACCAAAAAAACAAAAAGAGCTGAGTCGGCCAGGGTGGGCCACGCCTGTAATCCCAGTGCTTGGGAGGCTAAGGAAGGAGGATTTTCATGAGTTTGAGGCCACTTTCAGCTACACAGTGAGTTCAAGACAACTCTGAACTAAAATGCATAACAAGACATTATATGAAAACACGAAAACAGATAAAGAAAGAAAGAAAGAAAGAAAGAAAGAAAGAAAGAAAGAAAGAAAGAAAGAAAGGGAAAAGAAAAGAAAAGAAAAGAAAAGAAGAAATGGACAGTCTGGTTCTAAAATTTATGTGAAGCAGAAAGTTACTTATAATAGCCAAAATAATATTTGAAAAATAAAAAGAAAGTTGAATAACATACACTACCTGATTTCAAAATCTGCTGTAAACTACAAATATAAAGATATCAAAACAGCATAGATGTTTGCTGTTGCTAAAAACCGTTCAGCGTAGTTACATGGTAATAGTGAACAAATAGTGGAAATGAAAAGTTCACAAGTGGACCCATACATTTGTGCTTCATTTATATTCAACAATTATCTAGAGCCAATTCAGTGGAATTGATGGAGCAGATATAATTTTAAAAGAAGAATAGGAAATGGTTTCCCAACTTTCTTGAAAGACAAAGAACAAGAAGTAACGAAAATGGCCAGGCATTGTGGTGCATCCCTGCAATCTCAGCACTTGGCAGGTTGAGGCAGGAGGCTCACCATGAATTCAAAGGAAGCCTGGGCTATATAACTGTATTGAAGTCAATCTTGGAATATATAGTGAGTTCCTATCTCAAAAAACAAGTAATGAAACTGCACCAGAATAGAAAATTCTTAGGTGCATTGCAGTCAAATTATTGAATAGCAACAATAAAGACAAAATTTTTAAAATATCAAGAGGAAAATATCATCTTACATGTAAGAGGAGTTCTCAAAAGAAACTATACAAATCATTGAAGTTTACAAAATGAAAAGGTTCTGAAGACAATGGTGATATTTCTTAATACCACAGAACTGTACACCCAAAAATATGTAAAATCATAAATTTTGCATATTTTCTCACAATAAAATAAAAGCTGTACATGTCAAAAGATGATGGAGTATCATTTCAAGTTGTTGGAGAAAATAAGATCAATTCAGAATTCTTCCTCTTGAGAAACTTGCAAAAGAAAAGCGATAATAACTTTCCAACACCGGTGGTAAGAATATAAAATGGTAAAGCTGCTTTAGAAAACTGTCTGGCAGGTCCTCAAATGATATTCAAAAGATGGAAACAATCCAAAATTTCCATCAATGCATAGAAAAATTAATTGTGGATCTGGGCATGGTAGTGGATGCCTGTAACCCCAGAACTCAACAAGCTAAGGCAGGAGGAATGTTGTGAGGTTCACACCAGCCTAGGCTACAAAGTGAGTTTTAGCCCAACCCAAGCTGCATAGCAAGACCCTGTATCAAAACGTCAAAAAAATTAATTGTGGTATATCCAAACCACACAGTATTATTTGGTGTTAAAAAGGAGTGAAGTACTGATACCTCCTGCCACATGGACAAGCCTTGAATACAACACGCTATGTGAAATAAACCAGTCACAAAAGACCACATATATAATTTCACTCATATATATCCAGAATGGGGAAATCTATAGAGACAAAGTAAATTACATATGGCTTCACATTGTCCTGAGTTTGGGAACAGAGAATGAGGAAATAGAAGTGATAGCTAATGTGTCTAGGATTTCATCTGGAGGAGAGGATGAAAATGTCCTAACACTGACTCCGATGACAGCTATGCAGTTTGTGATTACACAAAATTCTTTCAAAATGTGCATTTTAAATGAGTGAATTATAAGGCATATGAATCACATTTTAAGCTGTTTTTTTAAAAGCTGAGGATATAGTTTACAGGCACAAGTACCTGCCTGGCAAGAGTGATGTCATGAGTTTGATCTCCACTAAGAAGAAGAAGAGGAAAAAGAGACAGAAGAAGAAGAAGAAGAAGAAGAAGAAGAAGAAGAAGAAGAAGAAGAAGAAGAAGAAGAAGAGGAAGAAGAGGAAGAAGAGGAAGAAGAGGAAGAAGAGGAAGAAGAGGAAGAAGAGGAAGAAGAGGAAGAAGAAGAAGAAGAAGAAGAAGAAGAAGAAGAAGAAGAAGAAGAAGAAGAAGAAGAAGAAAAGAAGAAAAGAAGAAGAGGAAGAGGAAGAAGAGGAAGAGGAGGAAGAAGAGGAAGAGGAAGAGGAGGAAGAAGAGGAAGAGGAAGAGGAGGAAGAAGAGGAAGAGGAAGAAGAACAAGAAGAACAAGAACAAGAACAAGAAAAGACAGAAGAGGAAGAGGCTGAAGCACACCATCCTGTGAGACAGCCAGTGCTGTGTGGGCTGTGAGACCAGAGAAGCATCTCCCCCACCCAGCCCAAGCAACTGGTGATTTAGAGGAACTCAGGGTGAGATGAACAAAGGAATAGCTTTTTTTTCAATGTATTGCATAGGGTTGAACATTTTTGTCCAGTTTTATTGAGGTATAACTGACAAATAAAATGCAACATAACTGACACAAAATGATGTTTTGAAACACTGTAGGTACCAGCTAGAACATTTCCCGCTCCCAGCCTACTTAGCATTTATCAACACTGTTGCTTCAAGAAATTGCTTTGAGGGTTTTTTGAGCTGTGAATTGATCTATGTAACTCACACAAATTTGCCTAAACAGGTACATCCTATGCTCCCTGAGAAAAATGGAAGTTCATCATGGTTAACATATAACATCCATGCTAATCAATATTTCCATCTCCTCACAGAGTTACTATTTGTTGAAAAATAATTTATTTAAAAAGCAAAAAAAAAAACAAAAAAGGGTAGAAATGATACATAATTTTAAAAAGTAAACAGTAAGAAAGCACTAGTTGATAAACTACAAATTGTCTTCTTAGAAATAGTTGTTCATGTTACAAAAGTAAAGCATACAAAGTGAACATTCAAACAGCGAGACTGCAAACCATTCTTTTCAATGATTCATCAAAAACTTAGTAATATGGTTATCAGTCCTATACACTTAAATATACATAGTTATATTTTTTTAATTTTTTTATTTAAAGAAATACAAAACAAAATAGAAAATGGGCAGAAATAGTACATACTTTCAAAGAAAAGAAATAGTAATAAATCACTAGCTGATGTATACATATTGTCCCTCTATAAATATTTGTTCAAGGTACACAAGTGGAACATATAAATGAAATTTCAACCAGGGAGACTGCAAACAGTTCTGTTCTACTCTCTGACAAAAACTAAGTATTAAGGCTATCAATCCTATACACTTAGACATGTACGCGTTTATCCATATCTTCATTTATGTTGAGACCTAGCACAGCATATTAGATTAAAATCCTTATGAACAAAGATTAATAATACTGCTGGATTTCACATCATAACACTCTGGAATCAGGATTGGGTACTGCAGACCACTTTCTCTCAAAGTTTTTGTTCATTTCATCATGTGTCATCAGATCAGTGTTCATAAACTGTTTATAGGTTTTACATAAGCTTGAGTCTTAACATGTATTTCTACCCTTTCTATGTTACAGGGAGAAATATAACAAAGCAGGACAGAAGTAAACTTTTTCCTATAGACATATAAAACTAAAAAGACATATAAATCTGCTGTATAAGGAGTTCTATCCTGGTCACTGTGTTGTTTCTTGTTATCATCAACAGAATTGACTATATCATCAGATAAAGTATAATTGAGCATATCGGTACATAACAAAATTAACAGAACTACAACTTTATAGATAGTGTAGAGTTACAAAAACAGGTAGTAATCAAATCAGAATGGATATCGTAGTGAATCATTGTCATTTTCAGTACAGTTGTCTGTACTCCTCAACTTGTTACCATCAACCTTACAGGTTTTGAATAAAACCTGTCAATAATAAGAAGCAATCAAACAAGTCAGATTTAACTAAGATCAGTCATGATACAACAGTATAAGTCATACATGGATCCTGATTTAGTTAGTAGGGAATTAAAGATGTCCCCTATGCTATGGGCAGCCTTCTGTGCCCCTCAGACCCAGTGCCTGTATACAAACTAGGACAGAACAACCAAGCAGAGTGCTGGGAGTAATAGGGGTTTAATTCCTGATACACTGTTAGCTATATCTTCTGCTGTTTTTTTTTTTTTGAGGACTATTCCTCCCCTTTACTCCCCCAGAATGAACTGTGTATTTTGGGGTCTCCCCAACACTCACAGTTTTGTATTCAGGGGGCAACCTGATATTTGCCTAAGTGTTTCTGAACTTTCTCACTCCTAGGGTGGATTTCTAGTTATATTTCTTCATTTATTAAAGCCTGTCTGTTCAACCTATCCATATATACTGGTCTACTTGCCCCTATTACTCTCTGGTTCCCTGTCACATCGAGTCCCATTTTCTCATGTTTGATTTTGGTCCATATAACCTTCTTCAGGCTAATTATATTTCCTATAAAG